AAATGTCCACAAGGTAATTTTGTACGGGAAAGAATGTTTATTTTTCTTGTAACCCATTGGATATATTTTCCCTGGAGTATCAGTGTGTTTTTTGGCTGTGCCTGATTTTCTATAATGGTCTACTGTATTTTACTGCCCATGTTCCAATTCTGTACCGGCCTTTGAAGAGCTTTCTATTCCATGAGAAGTCAGGATGCGTGAATGAGGCTATGAAAGCCAAATGAAAAATATTGCTGCCTGCAGAAATTCCATCAGCATATCCAAGCATATTGTATAATTCACTCAGCTTGAACACACACAAACAAAATTTAGTGAACTGAAATGCATCAAGCGAGTGGAATAGTATGCCATGTATAAAGGCTAATTGTATGAAATGTAAACTTCATTACACTTGAAATATATAATTATACGGCAGTTCCATAATCAACTTTTGCTTTGCTCCGATTCAAAGCACATGAATAGCACATGCACATGTTGGCAGATTCATGTCAAACATTTGCTAAAAGTAGTCGGTGGTTATTTTGTGCCACGTGTTAACGAAAAGCTAATTGTCAAGATATAAATTAATCCAGAGGGGGCCTCGTGGTGGAGAAGTCAGAGCACTGAGCCAACACATGTGATACCCTAGGTTTCAATCCGGGCATACACCCACGATAAAAACAAGTCGATGGTCTCACCCTGGTCACAAGTGACGGCACATACAAAAACTAGTGCACGAAAACATTTGTCAATTAATTTGCATCAGTTCCAGATCTGAGACTTAAAATATGTGGTTTGATTTGTGTCCATCCCCCCCCCCCCACCTCCGGTTAGCACGGTTGGCTACGTACCTCAACATACATACAAGCCGAACAACATTTGCAAGAAAATAAGAGGTGTGTCCGTAGTGCAGAGAGAGGCCTGTTGGAGCGACCGTGGAAGAAACGCTGTGACGTAATTCTTCAGTGGCCATTCTCTGTCACCACTGATGCACTGCGAGCTGCAGAGGAACAAATGTATATTTGGCTCGCTCACTCATACCTTCCTGAAGATCTGCCAGCTAGGTCAAAGCACCACCTCGGCCCTCTCAGCATTGTGGTCGCTACACAAAGAATGTAAAGAGCCACATCAAACTTTCTTTGAGGCCCTAGGACCCAACATATTTGGGGGGGGGGGGGTGTCATTATTAAACCCAGATTCAAACGAAATTGAAATTCTGGGTATATATTTTTTAATTATGATTACATTTCCATTTTCTGTATGTTTTGAGTAAGTTGAACAAGTTCAGATTATGGACCTATTCCAATTTTCTATTACTTGTTTACTGGGTTCGATGTCCTGACTGGTATTGGCCAAACATCCCAATGTTTACAGGGTTATCCGCAACTTACTCAACCTGGATTATACACAGCAACATCGCCCTCCACTGTGTAAACTTGAAAGGACCCTTCTGAAAAAGAGTTGCGACTCCGTGAAGCTTTCCTGGGTAAAGAAGTGTAAATAAAATTAGGCTGGAATAAAAAAACTGCAGTAATTTCAAACGACTGTCTTGTTACAATATACTGTAATCACGAACATAAACACAACCACACTCTTTTTACATGCCTCTTTTAATGAACATATTATTACTGAATTCATAATATCGTAAAAAGTGTTTGGAGATTCGATCGGTTTTTAAAATCCAAACGGTGTTTGTACTGTGTAAGTAACCTTTTGGTGGTGCCCTTTTTCTATGACTAGTGACTGCATACGTTAATACACATTGTAAAATAATTAGTGATTATGGTATTATTATATTCCAGTTCTCTCAAGGTCACCCTATTGACCCATCCATCTCAAGATCTGTCCATGGTGTGGTCTTGTGGCTTGTTACTTTAATTCCTTGTGTGTCATAAATACCAGGGTTCCTGCTGTGCGCCTTTGCTAAATTACAACCAGGCATTAAAATACCCTTTATTAGGACTCTCATTAGACTGTAAGTGTAAATCTGAAAGGAGAGATTTTTACGATTCTCCTCGGAAGGTTTTACCGTAAACATTATATAAGCGTCGCTTTTGTAATAAATCGGCTCCGTTGCCTGCTCCAGGTGTGAGGAATGCAAATCGCATTTCGTGGGTGGGCTGAGGCGGTTGGGTGGATTTACTGGGTTCGAACCCGGACAAGCCCAACGTTGCATGACTACTGGGATGCAATTAAACCGGGGTTTCAAGTGTAGCGAATTGATGACTGCACAATACAAAAAACACACTCGCATGTTTGTTTTGCACTCGATTTGGAGAAATCTCAGCTTTGGAATTCACTATCATGTGACAATTTCGCAGCAGTTCTTGCAGGAAAGTACACCCATCTATTACGTGAAATATTAAAAGATGCCTTTTGAGTCCTGTGAACATCCCTTTTGTGGACCATTTTCTAACAAATATGGGTGCACTTACTGCTCTGTGAGAATGCATGCTTTGTTTTTTGGCATGATTTAAATCACACTATTGGAATAAAAACGATATACATTTTTTTATCTCTTGGTTGAGCTAATATTTACATGGGAGTCCACAAAATAAAATAAAAAAGTGATAACATATAAAACTAAGTGGAATAGATCTTGAAATATGCAGGTGGAGTGGTGGAATAGTGGCTAGTCTGCGTTGTAAACCCATTAACCAGAGTTGAATTCCCGGCTACGGCTAAAATCAAGGGTGAGTGACATTTGAACCGCGGTCCCTGGGTTCCTCTTTCATCAGCCCGCACTGACCAGGGTGGTGAAGTATTTTCAAGCAACTCCCATGGCCAATACCGAGGCCTTAATATCCAGATTGGCAAAGGCCTGTAAATGTGGCCCAGATGTGACACCCCCCCCCCTCCCATTTAATTCTCTAAAACTTAGCAGTTTTAAAGTAATGTTTATTTGAAACAGAAGTGAATATGCAAAGGAACAAAAATGTTAGGGATCAATTAATTGGGGGGTTACAAGACATCTGAACCACCTTGTATATTATCATATAAAATAATGACATAAGCAGATCAAGGTAAAATACAATAATTGTTTAAACAAAGAATATCACTTCCTTGGGATGCGCCGTTAGTCTTCTTTTACCTATAAAAACGTAAAATTATTGTGTGCAGGATACAGTATTCCTCCAACTACACGATTAAACTTAGTTTTCATCACCGTTAAATCTCAAGGGTTATTCTTTCAACGTCAGTACACGACCGTGTTTGTGAATGTGCTTTATTTTGTCACTAAAAGTGACGGTGGCAGCAATGCATTGTGGACTCACAAGAGGGCGATGCCCACCCACCTGTCCTCACTATCTGAGGCAATGTTCAAAGTAAATTTTGATTTAAAGCTTTCGTGACTGCAGGGATTCATATTCTTGGTTCTTTCGGTAAAGTCACGTAAAAGGGAAATAATAAAATAATATAAATATAAAACTATAATAATTCTCACGACGTTTCGACTGCAACACAAGCAATCATCATCAGGTGTGAAATCCACAGCAAGAAATTGTTCTTATTTTCGTGAGAATTTTTATTGTTTTATATTTATATTATTTTATTATTTCCCTTCTACGTGACTTTACCGAAAGAACCAATAATATAATGTCCAAAGTAATTAAAAGTAAAAATTCAGAATTTATTAAATGCCTAAAATAAGTTGGAAGCATTTTAAAAGCAATTGTTTCTGGAAATATTAACACTGGTATCCGGATCCGTGAAATTATAAAAGAAATGGGAAACGTCTCTAATTTTGGCCTTTATTTTAAGGACTTATATCTAACCACCTTTGGAAGCAGTTAAGCTAAGAGATGGCAGCAATACCTCGAGCACCAGTGGGCCAGTTGCATGATCTATTCCCATTCGTCCGTGTGTAAAATATTTGCAAAGTAAAATTTTCATTGAAGGTTTGTATAACCAAGCACAGAACCAGATTCCCTCAAGTAAACTAATGAACAAACACCACATTTTGTTGCGATCTAATACAGCAATGCCCTTTATTTAGCCAATAAGCCATCGCTGTCTTTAGACACTTTTAGAAAAGGGACCTGAACGGAGATTCTCAGCTAACTTTACGATAAGCCATCGGTTGAGTCAATTCGGCCTTGATTTGTTTAATGTGTGCCTCATAGTGCCACTTTCAAAGCTGTCCCAGCGATATTTCGCCTGCAGAATGTATACAATTCTACTTTTGGGAGGTAGGTGTTGGTGACAGAGCTATTGTCAGACAGTTGGGTGGTGACAAAAAACACTTTTAGCCGTCATGATCTATCCACTGCTGGATGGTGAAGGCCTCCCGAAGCCATGGGCGTCTCTCGTGGTCCTGCAATGTCACAATCCATGGAATACGAGCTGATTTTTAGCACAATCTCCTTGGTGTTGTGTTTTTCGAGACGTGTTCACTCGTTTGGTTGGCATTCCATTGTGAGGCTCTACCACTGCCCAGTGAAGATGATGCCAAGAGTGGCCCAATGTTTGCACGTTTACTGGGTTGGCCATCAACAACCCGCTCTCCTTGGATCACTTTACACGAAAGGACTGAGGAAACTTTATCCGGTTGAATTAATGATGAATGCATTCACACACTGTACGGATGTTTATTTGCCTTAATGGTTTTATTTTATGAACAATGACAATTTTGACTCGAGTTGTTTCATGCAACCGAGCTCTTGTTTGTGGATATTTGTGGTTTTATTGCCATCATTCCCCTCAGACTTTACGTTCAATAACTCTTATGTAAGTCCGCCCCTACAGCCCACACGTGGCGATGTGGAATCGACATCATCTTAATAATCGGTTAGCGATTCCAACATCTATTAAGAAAAATCGATTCCCTCAGCTCGACACAATGCAATCTAAATCGACTTTTGGAATCTATGACGCCTCCTGGAATCGATTCGCGTCCATGAAATCGGAAAACACTTGCGGGTTCCCGCCAAAACCACCGTCCAATAGAATTGCGCGATTCCAACTCGGTGATGACGTCATAACCCGCTGATTGGCTGAGGACCATGGTGTCATACTGGAGGTTTTACCTTCTGTGGTGACTTTTACGATCCAATGAAGGCGTAAGGTAAGAACACGGTTGCTCTGTTACTTATTCAACAATGTTACGTATTTTATTTAAAATGTATTTCAAAATATCAATGTATTTAACCACCCTAAGCTCCAAGGCGTTGATTCGGTAAAAATAATCAGACTGTATTGTGAGGTAAATAGATGCAGCGTGCGTCTGAATAAAGATCCATATTTTATTCTCAAGTCGCGTTAATGTTTAATTGCATTCAAGTTAACTGTTTGAAGTAGGTTTCATGCCCAAACCAGCGTGGTACAAATGTTGTATTAATATAACAGCCCCGACTCTTTCCATGCGGCAACCACTGTTGGTTTCCTACCAACGTAGTACCGTACGCAGGTAACTACTTTATCCACCCCACCGTGATTGTGGGCTCGGTAGATTTTATCCCCTCGCCGAAGTTTGAGCTGGCGCGTTGCTTTTACTCGGGACCCCAACTGCAGTGCATGTGAATGCGGGCTGTGTTTGTGTTCTTGGAAGTGTAGTAGTAATAATTATAGTTTACTGCTTTTATAATTCATAAATAATTAGATTTTTAAGCTGTCATCTGGTCTCACTTTTTTGTTTGCTTGGCCTTCCCCAGTTTTATCCAAATTGTGCTATCAGCGTCGAGGTCACAGTACGAACAATCCATTCCGAAATCTCTCAGATCAATGCAACCCCCCCCCCCTCTTGTAGCGAACTGGCCCGCGCAAGCGGAGAGCGTAGAACTACTTCTGAGAGCGCTTCAAGTGAACTCTGATGATACACAGTAGGGGTCAGCACTCTCCAACTTGCCCTGCCGTCGAGAGTAATGTGGTTTGCTTGACAATCAGAGCAATGTTTACAAGATTCAAAGCTGGATTTTGGTTAAATGCACAATCTGATTACATTTGTGATGGGCTTTTGTACAGCCATTGGTGAGACGATCAACTCGGTTACTTCTGCAAAAGTTTATCTGACAATTATATCAGCATAATCTTGTTTTCATTTGAAATTAGTCGAAAAAACCTAGATAAAACTAGGTAACCCAAGTTGTCTCAATGCCCATTTAAACAATAAATCACTTGGGACTCCCATCATAGTTCGAATTCTGTACAGTAATTTATTCCCACAAATATCTCCACTATGAACAGAATTCGATCACTTTATTCACTGATTACAAGCGCTTGTATTGGTTATACAATATACGTGTGGTATTTGATTGCTGTTTTGCGCCTTGGGTTGCAGTAGCCGATATGTCTAATTTGAAACTCGAAGTACGTATTTTTACAGTTACATGTCATCACACGGTGCTTAAAAGTATGCAGCCACGGGTCCGATTAGTCATTATGATAAAATCTAAGAACTGCGTACACAGCACTATGGGGTGGTTCAATAAAATCTTGCTTACTTATGGATAAAACAGCATGCATGGTTCGGTTGATAGACCACTGCACTCCTAATCTCGGGGTCATCCATTCACCTTTGGTCAGGGCCACCTCAGCGCATCATGTCTCTGAAGTCGATACAAATAAGCACTAATTTGTGGGGAGTCATCATTAGTTGTTGCGAATAGGCTCTGCCATAAAACTGGAATTTCTACTACTGCCCTAACAGTCATATAAACACTTAAAGTATAAAATGTATGAAATATATTTGGTGCATCGAAATAATGCACAAAACATATCTCGTGTGAAATTAGGTGAATTTTTTTGTACAAATTATAAATTGTGCTCACAATCTAATGTTTCTTATGCAAAACTGGGTGGTGCAAAACTAGTAATTATATGATCTATGTTAGTTTTGATTGGTTGAAAGGTTACAGCTTAAGATATGTTTTGAAAAGTGAGTTGTTTTAAGGAGTATTTTGCCTGTGGGATCAAATCAGAGTACCAGGAGAAAGTCTATCATGCATAGGATGAGGATACAAGTCACCAGTCCTCGCAGATGCGGTCACAAACCCACTTTTTCTCATGGCTTGTTGGTCACCAAGTGGCCCAGTGGATTTGGGGGTCTCACAAATATATATAATCCTACAACCCATGCCCCCAATGCGCTTGATTTACAGGCATGCATCACCCTGGGTTTAAACCATTTTCATCACCACCGTGACCCTGCCCTGCACATTACCGAGATTACTCTAGCGTTCTCACCTGGTTAAACAAAATAAACTATATTCAGTGCTGCCACGTATAACCAACCCTTTGCTTGAGCACTGAAATACATGCTATCAGCCCCATGACTGTCTTAATCCACAGAGCTGAGTCTTCAAAGCAGGAACTCCTCACTCACCTCGCATCGTCATGGAACTGTTTGACGATTCGGACGAGGATCGGGTCCGTGCGCCTCCCGAAGACGGTGACCCTGATCGGCGGGAAAACTTTGGAGGTCTGAGGCTCAGCAGAGGCCAATGAGCACTAGCATTAATTATTCAACTAAGTATTTTGAGTGCATTGTACATATTGGTGAAGGGAAATCTAAACTTGGTTGGGTTGCCCTGTCTTGGTAGGGCCAATTGAAAACAGCAACGACATGGTCATTCGACTCAGTTTAATGCCCCGCCACCAACTTTTGAATTGTACCCTTTATCATGAACTGAAGTTCATATACCCTTCATTCACACTCTCATGGTATCTGTTACCTCTAATTACGGAGTAATTCATTCGCTTTTATTCACAACTTGTGACTGCTGCTACTGTAGAGGCCGTATCTTGAGGTTCTAGCATTTGAACACTTGTTAAGGTTTATTTGCAAGTAGATGTTTCTGGTTACAAGGTGCAATTATGGGAAGTCATTCTAAAATAGGATTGCAGAAACTAAATTTTATGTAATTATATGGATTGAACTTCAACTAAAGTAGTCTTGAAAGTGTTCTTGTAAAATGTTATGCGGATTAGACATTTCAAACAATGTATAACTTGATGGTACTCTTCTGTTCAGTTGCATGTCCTGAAGTTTGTCTTGTCATTCAGATGAGGCGGAGCTTCAGAACCACTCTCAAGCCGAAGGCAAGCCAGTACCTGTTAAGAAAATCGTGAAAAGGCCTCGGCTCAAACTAGATGCCCAGCGGTGAGTACAAGATGCTGCTGTATTTTTGATTTTTCAGTTAGGAAAACAATGCTTTAAACGTATGAGATAAAGAAACGTTATTAATATAATACATTTTCCTTAGACTGTCATCAGAGAGGGGTCTCCCTGCTTTGAGAAAAACATTTGAAAATGTAAAGTTTAAAGGTAACGGGCATGAGGTAAGCTTATTTTATTACTTATGATTTAATATTTATTTTTAAGTCATTTAAATTAATGAATTGATGCATCGTAACATGCCTTCATAATGCTGGTTATGCTGCAGGTGGAAGACCTGAAATTGATCATGAAAAACATGGAGCACTGGGCTCATCGCCTCTTCCCCAAGATGCCGTTTGATGACATCATCGACAAAATTGAGGTCCTGGGGTCGAAACGAGAGGTGCAGGTGCGTAAAAGAGGTTTAATTTTTTTTACATAATTTTGCCGTCTTGAAATGAATTTTTATTTCAAATCTATTGTACGAAGTTTGGTCTTATTTTGTGGCCTGTCATTTGCAGAACTGCCTCAAGAAGATCCGGCTAGATATTCCAGTGTTTGATGAAGACTACAGGACAATTGACCATGATAATGGTAACCAGCCAATGTCTTCTGTTTGGAAATATTTACAGTTATATCTAAAGTTGCAATTTGCTTTGCATTCAGTGAATTACAGTGAAGACAATAATACACTCGGACAGTTATATTGTAATCGTTGCCCGCGATGGTTTCTGCACCATTCTCTATTGTATAAAACAGTTGGTTACCCAAATGTGTACTAATCTTGTTGCTGCGTCCACTAGTGGGCAACTGGGATTGTAGTTGCTAATCCGCTCAGAGTTTGTGATACCCAAGGTTGGGTACTCTGTAGTATAGACCACTGTCCATGAAACATCCATTTCAACAGTTTTCATTGGTTCGTCAGAACTTCACTATGCAACTTCAACCAAGATGCCAAAGGTATTCATAGTAAATGCACTGCCAGTGAAAATTACCAGCTGCGATTACCGTTGTGCAGTAGTGCACAACATATGGCCTCGAGGCCCACGAGGAAGTTGAAGCTGTGCACCCCTGCCTTGGTGTATCATGGCTTTCGGGGAATATTTGAACATTGACCGTGAAGCTATGAAGGAAGCAATGGAGAGGTGTGGTGGCATCAATGGAATTTGCTTTGATATTTTGAATTTGAGCACTTTGCAGGTGACCTTTTTAAAAACCAGAGTGTAGCCTAATACAACTAAAGTAACCTGAAGGCGAGACCTGAAATAAACTAATAATTTTTTGTGATCTGCAGACGACGCAGAACGGGAAAGGCTCAACAACAGCTTGGACGGCAGTGGGCAGCCAATTTTCTCGGTTGGCACACCAAGAACTGCACCCATGAGCAGCAACACTCCAGCGCCCATGAGCAGCACTCCAGCGCCACAGCTAACCGATGAACAGCGTGAAAGGATCGAGCGGAACCGTCGCCTCGCCATGGAGCGTCGCATCGCCAAGCTGCAGAGTGCGGATGTGCCGATCACATCCTCACAGTCGCAGGAAAAAGGTAAATCGGTTCTTTGAGTGTCTTGTGGAAGATGAACAAATCCCAATGCTCGGTTCTGCAAACATTTGTTGACTTGTCGTCGTAGTCCATTAACCAGAACATTTTTCACCAGTTATATAGATTTAAAAAAACGATGCTATTCTCTTAAATTACTCATGCCATTTGGGGGAAATACTCAAATCCATACACATAGACCAGCTATGTAGTTTCCTGTGCTAGTATATACAAACTACTTCATAGCAAATTTTGTTAGGATCTGCCAGATCTACAAATCTCAAATTCTGGATTATAGGCACATGCCACTACATCTGGAAAAGAGTGCTCTCCTGTATAATGGGACTGCAACTCATTTACATACAATGTTATTCAAAAAAGTACCAGAACCAGACCCAGTTAACCCACAAAATAGATAAGCAGACAATATGCCAAACGTTATAGCCAAGGACCCTCCTAAAGAGAGGGTAATGTCTGGCAATCCACCAGACTTGTAAAAATTGGTCTGGAGTTTGTCTGCAGTGAATCCATGCTGCTAAAATTGTGCTCTCAGAAGGCTGTGGGACTGATGAGTTGTGTAAAACATTTTTGTTGGACTGAGATGATGGTGACATTCTCTGCTTGTATTTTGTACTTGTATTTTCTATGATGCTAATTATTATTCTCAGTTAACCCACTGGTTAGCTGGTGTACTTATTTTAGTTTACTTTACAGATATTAGGTTAATAATTCATCAGAGCAGTAAATTTTTAATTTTGCGTGTATTTGTGAAGTCATTCTCCCGCATATTTGTCTTTCTGTTCAGAATCTCCGAGCTTGCAAGATGAAAGGGATCAAAGTGTAACGGATGAAAAAGAATGTGGCGATGACATCGTTTTAGGAGCCACTCAGGATACGGACATGGACTGGATCGATGCGGATTTTGCTGTTCCACAAACGGCTGAAGCAGCACAAGGCCTCTGCACCGACGAACTTGTGACCCAAAACCTTGTAGCAGAAGGGGCACCTGCTGATGGTACTGAACCCCAACCAAAGGATCAACCTTAACAGCACCGAAGTTACAAAGAGTAGTCAGGCAGGAGTTAAGTGTAATTTCTTTGGGAACAGCGTACTTGTTTTATGTCGTGGCATCATGAACACTTCATCAACTAAATCAGTTGTAATATCAGCCCGTTCCAACTGTAATGGCCACAGCACAAGCTGCTCACTCCAAATAAATGAGGCATTTTATGTCCATTCTACGATCTATGTGGTAGGCAACTGATAGGCAGCATTTGGTTGGTGTGCAACAGTACATTTCACATTTGGAGGTTAAACCTGCCAAACACAACTTTCTTCTTGCAGGAGGCACATTCTTGACTTTGTTATTTGTAATGGCATATAGTGCTTATGACCGTCAAACAGGTCTGGCTGTAATATTGTAATTAGGATAACAAGGCTGTGCTGTGTTGATGACCCCCATCACATACAAAACCAGTACATCAATTTGCTTTGATGCTTTTAAGGTTCAGTTTTGTGTAGCAATGTGTTTTGAAACTTACATTTGAAATTTCCAATAAAAGTCAACATTTTACAAAATGAATGTACATTTTTTTATGAAAATCACACTCCATTACAAAACTTAATTTAATAATAAAATGTGCAAAAAAAATCGTTTTAAATTACTGTACACATTTTACTAACAATTTACCCTTTCATGTTAAATTGCCCCCCTTTTATCGGTTTCACTCAACGGAGAGCGAAAGCAATTTCACGTTTCCGAAAAACGTTTTTATCCATGGTGGCGGATGTCAGGCGGTGGTAGCATCCATCAGAGCCAGCTCTCTGATGTCCTCAAGGATATCGTAGAGGCATCCTTTGCTCTGGCTGAACTCGGGCTCCCAGAGAGGTGAACGTCCACTCTTGGGTGTCACAACCTTAGACCCCTCCTCGGCTCTCTGCCTCACCTCCCGCACCATGTCCGCCCGGGCATTCCTGGGCATGCTGCTGTCCTGCTGCCCTTCTGCCACAGCAGCGTTAGTCGATACGGATGCCGCTTCCGACATTTTATCCCGAGGCCGATGCTGCTCCATTCGTGTCACCTCCAGCCGGATTGTGTCCGCGTGTGCTCGTCGTGGTTGCACGGAAATCCGTACCTGCCCAGGAGATCCGTACAAAAGGTGATGTGAAGTCATAGTCATTTACATCTCGAAGGTGATTTTTGCCACATACAGACATTGGCACTTGTTGCCAAGAATTGGATGACGTGGAATATTGGCCAACACGTGACCCTCGCCAAGACCCTGAGTGTCCCCATGCTGAAATAACTTGTTGCATTATTCCACATTTTTATGGAGGGGACCACTCTCTTTGGAGGATAACCATTTGATTTTCTTAATACTAATGATGGACTAAGTGCAGTAATATTCTACCAGGGTTTCAACGCACAGCCTTCAGATTGTAAATGAGCACTCTGTTAATAGGATCACCTGGTGAGGCGTTGTAGTTGACTTTGAAACGTGTCAATGTGCATTTCCACCCAGGTTAAGATGTCAATAGTAACCAATTCAGAAAAACATTCAATTGAGATTACATCATTGTCACAAGACATTTACCATTAACAACAAATTATTTTCGATCAGTGTGGCAGTGAGAAATTACTTGCTCTGTTTGTTCAATGCTGTGTTATCCTTTCCTCGATGACTTTTAGATCCTTGTAATTTGTTTGCACTACAAAGTTGGTTATAAAAAAGGGGAGAGGTTTGCTCTACCGTGAGGTGGTCAAACAGGCGGACGGTGAGGCTGCGCCCCACGCTCGGCTGTGTCGTGATGTGATTCTTCCCCCTCGTGATGCAGCCAGGAACAAATTCGCAGACGTCGTCCGTGCCCACGCTGACCACGAGCCCATCTTTGTTCTTGAGATAAGCTGCTCCTTTTAAACCATATCTGTCGAGGGGGAGAGGGGAGGGGAGATTCAAATTAAGAATGCAGTCAATCATTGCCCATCACTACATTGATGACAAGTACTAGGCTAGTGGTTCCATGCAACTCACAATCAGAAAGTCTCAAGCTCAAATATCAGCTGGGAAGCGAGAGCCAATCATTCATCCGAGGTCAATGAAATGAGTATCAATTTGTTGGATGTTAACAGCAAGGATGTAAAGATTTGGGCCCCTGTTAGTTTCATGTAATTTTTACGAGCGTAAGAATCACTTGGTTGATGTATTATTGCTTGTAATCATTGGGCATGCCATAGAGAATTATCCTCTCAATAAAATTTTACAATCTACCATTGGCTCAAAGGCACCTTAAGAGGATGATGACCACCCCATGCTCAATCAAACATGGAGACACTTTCAAATTGACTTTTGACATTGACTTGTTGAAACGTCATTTGCGAGGTCATCATCTGTGACCTCTGGCAATGGGAAGAGAATAAAAGTTATTTTGGGTTAATAACTTAAATATAAATGTGTCGTTAACCCACCACCACCCAACACAGCCAATCAGTAAGGTTTGTCATGTAAACAAAACATGACAATGTTGACAATTTAGAGTACTGTGACGTTTCGCTGGTAATTACAACCAGCTTCATTGGGCGAATTGTGCTGGAATATTTACGCGATTAACCCAAAATAACTTTTGTTATTAATAATATTGGTCGCGAAAGCCTACTACATGTTAAATGGGAAGGGAAGTTCCGGTTACCGCGGCACATGGATGAGAACGCCGTCGGCACGAAGCGAGTAAACGATGCCGTCCTCGACGCAGCGATCGTCTTGCTCGGGGTCCTTGTCGCGGAAAAACAGGCACTGGAAGAGCTCAATGGACTCCTTCTGAGCCTGCTGGGCAGCCTGTGAAAACCAGAGACCACACGACCAGCTGTCTAGCGCCTCATGGCCAGTCCACCTACGCAAGCTACAAAGGCGAACCATTTAGGCCACTTAACATCAATAAGTAATGAGTCTTAGCATATCCCGAGGGTGGCCGCGTTATTAACGTATAGATAATGAGTAGAGAGTCAATAAAAAAAATGGAGCTGTTGTCATAAGGAGATAAGAGAGGTGATGTGCCTTTGTCCTGTAAGTGCAGCTGCTGCTCGATGCAAACTGAACCAGTTGAAACCCTTTCGTCCGTTCATCTTTCTGAAATAGATGACGGTTTAAACAAAGTATATTTTCACTACAAATACCTGCCACTACAATTCTGCAACAAGTTTTACTCCCACTGCATATGATTTACTGAAGCAGCAATTTGCATTCTAGGTTATCAGTAAAACATGAAGTACCCACTTAAAACAAGACAAGTGTGGCCAGCAGCCAGTTACTTTCAGACCCAAATGCACACGCCCAAGATTTAGTTGGGCGTCGGCAGGAATCCGCTCTACTCGGGCCCTTCCGTGCCACGCAATGCTGCGGCTTAAGTTTTCGCTCACCCTGTTCCTCTCGTTGATGTGCTCGCACAGCTCCTGCAGCTCGGTGTTGAGCGGTGTGGTTTCCGGCGCCCCCTTGGCCTCCAGCACGGCCAGCAGCTGCCGGTGAACCATCACGTCGGCGTAGCGCCGGATCGGCGACGTGAAATGCGTGTAGTGGTCTAGCGCGAGGCCTGCACAGCGCCACGGTGAGCACAGGACGACAAGATAAGAAGCCGAGAAGGATCGAGCTCGATTTGGTTTTCATAATCATCCAGTGCTGGTTAAAGACCCCCCCCCACCCCAAGTCGTCACCATCGTGATCTCGCGATATCACAGTCCATCTTGCGCCTGCACTCGAGCTAATCTCATTGCGTCTTCTCCATGGGTGACATCCTATCGGGCGTGTTCCCTCCTTTGGCATCTAAATACAGTTGTGTCTGAAGAATTTGGTGTCTGCTTGAGTGACTGGTGGCTGAAGAACTTACCAGTCACAGTACATACCCCACAACTAATTTGTTTTCTGGCAACCATTCAATTAAGAGATTAGGTGTACCATTTTCTCCGTAAAGTGTCTGCTAAAGCTGCTGTGACATAATTTTATCAAGTAGAAAATTGCTTCTCAAATTGGGTCGTGACCTCGATGGGGGGATTGCAGAGGCATCAAGATTCAACAAAATGACCATTTAATTAAATTGCCCGCAGCAGAGTGGTTTCGCAAAAAGTTTAAGTATTAGTGAAAGGTGTTACAGTTCAGTTGAGAGATCCTGGAGCAGATGAAAGTCACGACGTATGTCGCAATTGTTAAAATTACATGCAAGGAAACTAAAGCAAAATAACTGGTTTCCCAGGCCTTGCTGACTGAACTTGTTTTATTAGGGGGTAATGAAAATTATGTGGGCTTGTACAGGACACGTCATGTAGTTTGCTAGACGGATTACAACATCGCAAGGCTGTGAGAGATAGTGAATGCTTGGGGAGGCCTTCATCCAGCAGTGGATTGATCATGGCTGAGATTTTGTTCACGATGATGATGATGATGATGATTTTGTTCACGATGATGAAAGAGGGTTTTAGCTTGTGACCATACCGTAGTGGTAGTGCTGGTCGACAGGCAGGGAGCCAGTGGAGAAGTAGAGTGCGTTGGACATGGCGTGGACCGCCATTGAGCGCAGCATCTTGTTAATGAGCGGGTCGTTGGGATCCACGGCGTTGTCGAGAGACCCTGCCAGCGCCTTGTTGGAGCTGAAGCCAAAATAAAACATTTTAAATCATGTAATATTTGCAAGAGTGATGAAGCTTAAATTCAGTATTTTACATGTTAAATGTCCTTGCCATGATTCTTGCTGCAGCCGTGTAACAGTACAACTACATTGAATATTTATATAGCATCCAATTACCATCATATCTCAAGATGCTGTAGATAAACTGTGGGCATATTTACCACAAAGAGGTGGTTATAGGCAGAGAAAAGTAGAACGTTTTAAGCCTGGACTTGAAGAGAGTGAGGAATTTGGCAGCACTGATGTCTGGGGGATGGAATCTCCAGACACCCTGGGAGAATAAGCAGCCTCCCACTTGGCAAAGGTTGACTGGGGTTTTAATATTTGGATAGACAATACTAAAGTCATAAACGTAACTGACATGTCCATCTCACAGAAACAATGAGTTATTGGTGCAAGAATGTTGTACTTATAGTCATTCCAAGGGGCCATTGTCTTAAGTCCGTATCGATTGATACACACCGTCATATGAGTACTTAGCAAAGCGAATCATGCTCTTGGATCCTGACAATTCATCCGATGGCAAGGGGCCTGAATTGTCACCCACGTTTAGCAGCTGCAGCAGTAGCAGCAGTAGCAGCGGCGTGCAACGACTCGCCTCGTGTCGATGTGAAAGCCCAGCGAGGCAGCACACGCCTTCAGCTCCTCGAAGAATTCGTGTCGCGGAGGCGGGTGATGACGCAGCAGAGCGCGGCCGGGCAGCGCTTGCGCCACGCGGCGAGCCACCCAGTGGTTGGCGGCGATCATGCACTCGGCCACGGTCTCGTGCACCTCGAGCGGCTGCTGCGGCACGAGGTCGGCGATGGAGTCG